ACGGGTACTTAAATATATTAATATTTGTAAAATAAAAATAAAAATAATGACTCGCAGCGAGGGTAGGTGGGGAGCGCGGCTGAAATCGTGACGAGTTGCGTGCTCGTGAAGTCTGGTTCGCAGCGAGTGTGGACGTTCTAGTCTTGGGCACTCGCAGGGTCGCGAGGTGAGGTTCGCTGCGAGTGCGCAGTCTTTCACGAACGGGTCTCGCAGGTGTTCTCGGCTCGCGCGGTCGCGAACCGCCATTCGCTGCGAGTGTCCTGCATTCTGTCTCGTGGGCAGCTCTTCTTCGCGGCCAAACTCTCTCGGTTTTTTGGGTGTCTCACGCGCTCGCGAACGTCTTTTCTCGACGAGTGCTGGCGAGGTTTCGGATATGTCTCACGTGCTCGCGAACAGGATCTTACGGCGAGTGTGGCGTGATGGAAACAAGCTCTCGCAGCGAGTGTGGATGGATCCCGACTCCTTCACTCGGGTGACTTCAACGGCTAGGAATAGCTCGAATAGTGGCTCGGATGGCTCGTCTCCGAATGGCTCGAGATCGAAAGCATGGACAATGGCTCGTCTTCCAACTTGCATAAAAGACCTAATCAACACCAAAAGAGACAAGAAAATACGCCGAAATACAAAAACACAAGACGAAAATGAAAATGCATAAAACACGACAAAAAGGACCGATTGAAACAAAAACGAACCTAAAACGACTCAACTAAGGCATATAAAACACAAGAAAAACACCACAAAAACGTAACAAACAGTGACGTCATACTTCTCGGTATCATCTCAATATTTATAAATCTTATCTAGGATGAGATAATGTTTTTACTCAAGTTTATAATATTTTGGATATACTTTTAAACATATTATTTACACATTTTTTAACATATTATTTCCACATTTTTTTACACATTCTATCTATATATACATATACACATGTTAGATTTAAATACTTTTAGTCATTTTTTTTTTATTTTTTACAAAATAGTTTAGAAAAAATTTAGGAGACTTCACATCTTTCATACATATGTGAAATTTCATTATGTTTTTAGACATGTTTTTTTTTTTTTAATAAAATATTTTAGAAAAAATTTAGGGGACTTCACATTTTTCAATAATAATATAAAAAAGTAAACTTTTACATATGTTATATATATTTTAGGTGCTTTTAATATTATAAACATACATTTTTATTTTTCTTACACAAGATAATTTTATATTGTTTACAATAAACTGTGGTAAATTATATCACATATTAACCCCACATCTTTAATTTATAATCATTACTTAATATTGTTCTCTCGCATCTTTAATTTGTAAATATTAGTAATATTGTTTACATCATCTTTAATTTATAATTATTACTTAATATTATTTATTCGTGCAACACACGGGCTACACACTAAGGTATATATACACACTAGTTATTCCTATGAAAAATAAGCAATTAATTAATTATCATGCATATTGGACAATTAATATGTACATCTCATAAATAAATATTATGCATATCAAATAAATAATATTCACATCCCATAAATACATATGATGAAATAATTAGTAGTAATAAACATGGAAATAAATAAATAATCTAACTATTGGTCATTGAACAATCCAAGAAAGATAAGGTAATTGACAATCCTGTCCATATTGGAACTGACTTTCCTATCAGTCGAGGACTTCTCACACGTCACACATCATACGTGCGTAAATTTTTCTAGCCCAAATCACCCCAAAAAAAAAGGCAACCTCCTTGCAAAAAATCGTAACTGTGATTGATTAGTCCCGTCTGGAAAAACAGCCTGGCCGAAGAACGTGCAACAGGAGAACTTGTGTGTGACTGATTTAATTAGGAAAATAGATTTATCTCATTAACAACCAAAATAAAGAGATTTTCATTACCCGTGATTGGTTTAATTAATTAAAGTTTAAACTTAAATTTATCAGTCAAATGCGAGATTCTTCAACTTTGTTTTGAAAAATATTTCCATATAAAACTAGGAAGGCTCAGCACAATACCAAAGATGTAAAGGTCTCTTTATAAAAATATGAAATGTTCAAACTTAAAAGTTTAATATTTATTAAGTTATTATTATTACCTCGCGGTAAAGTACCAATGATGTCGAGCTCCTATGCTATACTCCTCTAGTTGATCCTTCGTTCAGCCGTACCATTAAATCGATTTCAACCAGGTCATCCGGGGGCCATAGTTCGACCTGTCGGTGTTCCTTGGGTCAATGATGCCCCCTCGACCTGAGGCTTCTTCGACCAAAAATGCCTTCGATCTCTGTTTGACCTACTGGCCCATTTGGTTCGGTTATATTGCTTCTCAGGTCCAGGCGACCCAATGCGGTATCCCATATCATGAGAATTTGACAATTTTTGGGGACTAGATTGCAATTTCAGAAACTTAAGAGTTATTGCAATTATTGGGTTCAATCTGTAATTTTTTGTAGTTTGAATAAGTGCAATGTGACCCTTAAGTTTTTATATTATATAGTTAATACACATTTAGTTTATTTCTTGTGCATATTTAGATAATACACAGTGAATATTTTAGTTATAAGTAATGCATATTTAATTGAGGACATAAAAATAGTAGAAAGCTCCCTATCAATTGTATATTTTGACTACACATTTAGTTTATACAAAATGCAGTTTTAGTTCATACGAAGTGCATATTTAGTTTATAAACAATGCATAATTGGTTAATATTATTGTTTCACATTTAGTTCATAAAAAATATATATTAAGTTCATACCAAAAGCATATTTAGTTCATATAAAACTGCATATTTTGAATGCAAATTTACTTCATACACAATGCATATACGGTTCATAAAAAATGCATATTTAGCATATAAATTTAGTTCATATTCAACTGTATATTTATCATTCATATTTAGTTCGAACCGATATATATATATATATTTTTTTATTATATACTTAATTAGATATAATATTTTTTATTATATAATTAGTATAATAAATAATGCATATTTAGTTTATTCATTATGCATACTTAGGTAAAAAGAGATGCATATTTAGTTCTCATAATGCATCTTTAGTTTATATGAGATCAAATCATAGTCCATGTATTTTTGTAAATCAATGGATCATATTAATCAATTATAATTTATATTAGCTATATAATAAAAAATATTAATTATTATATTTAAATTAATTATATAGAATGTATAATTAATTGCATATTTTCGCTGCATATTTAGTATGCTCATTTAGTTCATACATAGTACATATTTTGTTCATAAACAGTGCATAATTAGTTGATTTTGTTGTTGCATATTTATTATATGATTAATTTGATATAATATTTTTTATTGTATAATTAATGTAATACAGAATGCACATTTAGTTCATTTATTATGCATATTTAGGTAATAAAAATGTATATTAAGTTCATTATAGTGCATATTTATTATATTTAAATTAATTATATACATAATGCATATTAATTAATTCATTATGCATATTTAATTAATTCATTATGCATATTTAATCCATAAGAAATGCATATTTAGTTTGTCTTAGTGAATGTTTATTATATTTAAATTAGTTATATACACAATGCATATTTAGGTAATAAGAAATGCATATTTAGCTCATCATATAGCATATTTATTATATTTAAATTAAGTGTATACATAACGAATATTTAGATTATTCATTATGCATATTTAGGTAATAAGAAATGCATATTTAGCTCATCAAAGTGAATATTTATTATATTTAAATTAATTGTATACATAATACATATTTAGTTAATAAAAAATGCATATATAGTTCATCATAGTGCATATTTATTATATTTTATTTAATTATATAAATAATGTATATTTAGTTCATTCATTATGCATACTAGTAATCATCCTCTGCATATGCATAAATGTAAATAAAATAGTATAAATATAAATTATTTAAGTATATATGAATCACTATATTGATTGAAAAAAAAATCTGAGGATAACATAGTTTTTAGTTTTGAGAGATCATAGCCAATTATTTAAATATATTGACCACGATGTAAAAACTATTGGCTATTTTTTTAGAAGAAAATCGTTTCTTGAGATACAAAGTAATAAGAGATAATATTGATTTGAGAATAAAAAGTTTGAACAAAAACATTTGCAATGTAACTTTCTTTATACTTACGCAATTTCTATATAACGTTTAATATTGTTAGTTGGTATTAATATTAAATATTATATAATATAATAGTAAAAATATATGATTACGTTTAATTAAATTTATGTAACTGTTTTCTACCACAAGTAGCTAAAACATGGGCATAAACGTTACTAAATGAAGTTGAATAAAATAAAATAAAAAAAATTTAGATTGATGATGAAAATTTTGTAACGTCTTTTGGCGAAAAACCAAAAATATTTTTATCGATTGATGTGCCAACAATTATACATATATATATTTTTATTTATTTATGTGACACCAATTATATATAGATTTAGGTGATAAGATATGCATATTTAGTTCATAATAGTGCATAATGCATATTTAGTTAATCATAGTGCATAATGCACATTTAATTGCACATTCTCGTTGCAAATTTAGTTAATGCAAATTGTTCATTTAGTTCATACGTACTGGATATTTAGTTCATAAACAATATATACTTAATTGATATTATTAATGCATATTTAATTTATAAACATTATATATTCAATTCATAATAAACGCATACTTAGTTCATATCAGGTGCATTCAATTGAATGCATATTTACTTCATATATAATCCATATTACGCTCACAATATTTTCACTCGAACAACAACACACATCTTGAATCCAGAAATAAAATCATTAGTACAAGGCGAAATAAGAATTAAAGACGGAGGGGTGTCCCTCAATATTTCCCAGAAATTATGAAAAAATCTAGGAGCAAACTCAGAGTTCAGAAACCGCCACGTGTCATCCAACTAGTGGTTCATACCAGCCACACCCTCCATTCCAACAATTATCTCGATAAGATATGGTGATAGACAAACAACTTCAGATTTCCATAACATTTTTCAACAAAATAAAAGAGGAATTTTTTTTTTCCTCTTACACTGGTCACCACGTTCACCTCGCCGGTGATCCAAACCCCATGGATGTCTCACTCTCCACCGCCATAACCTGCATAGCCAGAAAATCACCCCATTGCTCATTCCTCTGTACATACAAAATAACGAAAATGCCCTTCCCTCTCATCTCTATTCTCTTCTTGAACCTCAACTCAGGCCCTGTAAAAGCAGACTCCTCCGCCTGCTCTTCCCCTGTTCTTGAACCCGTCCAAAATCCTCCCTTAATCGACCAGCTGCCCGTAAATCTACAAAATTTCCCGACAGACGATGGCTTTTCCGATGAAAACAACAAGGATTCAAACTCCCGAATAATCGGGCTTTTCAAGGATCCTCAGACAGAGAGCCTCGGACACGAAATTTATCAGAAATCGAAACAAAAACCGGGTTTCAAACCTCTGAGACGAACTCTGAAGCTCGTGTCAAGGTACTTAATCCGCTCCAAGAATTGGAGCGATTTGTTTTCCTTCTGTGAGGATTTGAAAAATTTTCAGGTTCTGCCCGATAGATCCACTTGTTGTAGACTGATTATAGGCCCGTGTGTTAAAGCTCGGAAATTCAGACTCGTCGATAGTTTTCTCGAAGTTTTCTTGGCCAACGACAAAGAAACTGCGGTCCTGGCCTTCGATTCCGCCATGAAAGGGTACAATCAGCTGCAAATGTACAGCAGCACTTGCGCTTTGCACAAGAGGATGATATCGGGCGGGCTCGATTTGGGCCCGGCGTGTTACTGTCATGTGATGGAGGCTCACATGAAGATGGGGCACTTCGAAAAGGCGTGCTCGGTTTTTCAAGAATTCGAGAATCGAAAATTTGTCGAGACGATTGGTGACGAAAAGCTTTTCCCGGTCTACTCTCGTATTTATTGGATCCTTTGCGAGTCGTTGGGGAAATTGGGCCGGGCCCACGAGGCCCTCGAGCATTTCCGAGAAATGTCGAGAACCGGGATTCCCGAAAACAATGTGATTTACTCTTCCTTGATAAGCTCTTTCGCAAGCTTCGGGGAGGTCGAGATGGCCGAGGAGCTCATGCTCGAGGCCGAGAGCAAGAACATGTTGAAAGATCCTTCCCTCTTTTTAAAGCTCGTCTTGAGGTACATCGACGAAGGCCTAATGGAGAAAACGCTCGACGCAGTCGATTTGATGAAACGCGCGAACATACGCGTCTCGGATTGCATATTCTGCGCAATCGTGAACGGATTCTCGAAAAAACGAGGGCTTCGAGACGGTATACGAGTCTTCGAGGACCTCGTCTCACGCGGGTGTGACCCGGGCCAAGTGACTTACGCGTCGGTTCTCAACTTGTACCTTCGGCTAGGGTTGTACTCCGAGGGCGAAAAAGTCTTTTCGAAAATGGAGCAAAAGGGGTACCACAATTGCGTGGTGGCGTACTCGAGCATGGTGGCCGCGTATAGTAAGGCGGGAAAGGTTCGCGATGCGTTGCGGCTTGTGGCGAAGATGAAGCAGAGAGGGGTCGAGCCGAATGTGTGGATTTACAATTCTATCCTTGATATGAATGGGAAGGCAATGAACTTGAGGCAAGTGGAGAAAACATGGAAGGAGATGAAGAGGAGGAAAATCACGCCCGACCAAATTAGTTACACGACGGTTATTGGGGCGTATAATCGGGCGCGTGAGTTGGACACGTGCGTGAAGTATTACGAGGAGTTTAAGATGACGGGCGGGAAAATCGACCGGGCCATGGCAGGGATTATGGTAGCGGTTTTTTCGAAGACGAATAGGGTGGATGAGATAGTTGAGCTTTTGGGGGATATGAAGAGTCAAGGAACGAAAATGGATGAACGGTTTTATAGGTCGGCTATGAATGCGTTGAGGGACGCCGGGCTTCAGGTGCAGGCTAGGTGGCTCGAGGGGATGTTCAGGTCTTCTTGATTTTTTTTTTCTTTTTTATGGTTTATTTTTCTATTTGGTGTTTTGGTTTTGAGAGTAGGATTTGGTGGTTTAGGGTTTGCATATTGAGTTCGAGTTACATGCAATGAAACAAACTAATGTGCTTGTGAAATTTGATGAAAAATATTTGATTAAATGACATCTCTGCCTTTCTGAATTTAACAAGAGTCCCAGGATATTTTTTCCATAGCACGAAACATATCCTTGTTGCTATTGCTATTAGGAGCAGAGTCAACAAATTTAACGAAAGTATAGAATAACATAATCCTTTTTGCCATCAAGCGTGATGGACATTTACTCATGTGACTAGGAATAGCAATGGACCAGGTCGGGCCGGATACTTGCGGACCCAGATCTAGCCCGCGTTTTTGCCCAATGGACCCTACTTGCCGCAACCAGCGAGGGGTCCAACAGGTCGGGCCCGTGACCTGACCCGTTTTGGGGAGGGTCGACCCGCCCAACTCTGTAGCTACCAACATAATTTTTTATCTTTTTTATTTTACCCCAATCATCAGCTTAAACATTACTCATTGCACAAAGAAAAAAAAAACAAAATAATAATAATAATAATAAAATTTTACAAGCTTAAATAGCACTTAAGAACAATCTTAAATTCGAAATACAACAATCCAACAAATAACATAATAAGTCTTACAATTCAAAAATCAAAATGTAAAGATCCAAACATGTCAAACGGCCCCCAAACCATGGAAATTAAAAATACCACATTGTTTTTTTCAACATCAAATCACTTCTAAAAATCCAACAAAACCCGTCGACAACATCAACCAATCCATAATGGAATTTTCCCAATGCACCTTCATACAGAAATAAAAAAGAAAAAGTTTATGTCAAACACATGTTCTGATAATTCACACACAACAAAAAATGTAAGTAAAAGAGAACGATATGGTACCAAAACCCCATAATCAAATCTCCTCATCATAAAAGTTGCATTTTTCCCAAGTGATGCATTTCCTACATTTATACAAAAAGAAAAACAAAAGTACCATATGTAGTCAAAAGAAACTTAGTGTATCAAAATTTAAATATCGATTTAAATTGATGTATAAATAGAAATGCTTACCTTGGTCGCTTAAAATCCAATTTTGTGCACACATCAATGCCTCAATAGTCTTATGATGAAGTCTACTACGATGGGGGCTAATCAATTGTCCACTTGTACTAAAAGCGGACTCCGAAGCAACCGTAGAGACGGGAATTCCTAAGACATCACGAGCAATTTGATGCAAATTTGGATACTTGGTCGCATTAGACTTCCACCAACTCAAAATATCAAAGTTAGACGTGCGTGGTAAAACATCATCTTCCAAATACGTATCCAACTCCGATTTTGTAGATTTCATTTTTTGCATAGAGGCATACAAATCGTATCCACTTAGTGACAGATCGTTAGAAATATCAGGATCAACCAATCCACTTGTATCACCACGTCTACCACCCTTCCCCTTAGCCTCATATTGACGGAGCAACTCACAACACATATCAACAATCTCCTCAACCTCATACTCACCACTAGTACCATAATTTTGTGGAAAATAGTATTCAAGCATAACACACTTATACCTAGGATCAAGCACGGTTGCCACCCCCATGATACTATGCACAACAGACCAATAATTATTAAATTTAGCCTAACATTTCCCTAGCCATTGACCACATCGATACCACAAGTAACCCAAGCAAGCTTAATCTACCAGAAAACAACTCAGTCGCCTTATAAAATAAGCTAAATCACCCACAACTTTCCTTTGCTAAGTGTCAATCATTTTCACTAGGAAAAGAGTCATATTTTGAATCGCGAACACTTAAGCAAGCAAACACATCTTTGTAATTCAAAGCAATTTGAAACATCAAATAGGTGGAGTTCCAATGAGTTTTACAATCAAGTGTAAGCTTTTTACCAAGTGTCACGCGAATCTAACGAGCCGTCTCCTCAAATTTTTCCATTCTTTTGGGAGTTGCAATCCAATAAGCAACACTTTCTCTCACTTTCTCCATTGTATTTCTAATGATCTTCAATCCTACCTGTACCACCGAGTTTAGGATATGGGTTGCACATCTCATATGCACTAATTTTCCGCCGCACATCAAAGAGTCTGATGGAAGTTTAGTCGTTATGAGATTCATCATCTTATCATTGGTGGTACAATTATCCACTGTGATAGTGGATAATTTACCATCAATGTACCAATCAAGAAGGCATCCAATCAAAGTTTCATATAGAACTTCACTAGTATGTGGGCTCAACACGTAAATGAACCTGTAAGGTAAAAGAAAAATAATTTATTTTAGGAACGACATGAAAGAATTTAATATATTAAAACATGTATATGATCTCAAATAGTGAAATATTAAACAAAGTTTTCATAATAGAATATTTATTATAGATACTTGATAATTCGAGATTGCACCTTCCAGTTATTGTCAACATAGTGGGTTGTGATAGCCATAAATCCTCTCTTCTGATGGGAAGATGTCCACATATCAGTTGTGATTGCAACCCGACTCTAAGCTCTAAAACGCGCATCACAACTTCCTTCAAATTTTCATAAATCTTGAGACAATATGTCTTTATCGTATTTCTTGTTACCATTCATGCTCAACCATCTTAAGAGGATGATACTCATGCTGAATGATCATTTTTGCCATTTCTTTATGGGAAATCTTTTGATCAAAATTATAAGGCGACAACTCAAATTTGTCCTTAGAAAAATTACTTGTCAAGACCGTCTGTCTCATGTGAGTAAATTTTTTTGATCAACATCTCGCAAATTGCTTTTTCAAATGACTCGTACCTTGACTGGGATCACCTAGCATATATATTGCTTATAGTGTTTGCACTGAACTTTTAATTTTCCCGCCACCATCTTCGGCTTCTTATACTCATCCCAAATAGGAGCTTCTTTTTTTTTCCGCTCCAAAGGTTTCATTTTGGTCATCTAACTCTTCTGGAGTAGTCTCGATAGGGCTCATCTCATCTACTGACAGTAGGAGAATTCATAATAGGAGACCCATCGTGAGTAGGAGATTGCATACCGGGGGACCGGATAGCAATGGGGGTAGGAGAGTGCACACCGAGGGACCCAACGAGAGCATGAAAGGCCGACGATCCATCTTCCAGTACATGAATTAAAAAATAAATGATTACATTAATTAAGATTGAACTAATAATGAGTGCTGTAAGTTAAAAAACTTGCATGAAATTTGTGATGTTTCTCAGAAGAAAAAAAAAAGATACTTGAGAAGAAGTTGTGATTCGCACAAACACAAGTTCAACACAATCATAGAAATCAATTATTTCTAACTTTTGAGTTACACAATCATGTAAGTTTAACTTACTAACACTCCTTATTATTAGTTCAATCTTAATTAATGTAATCATTTATTTTTAATTCATGTACAAGAAGATGGATCGTCGGCCTCTCATGCTCCTGTTGGTTCCACCGGTATGCACTCTCCTACCCCCATTGCCATCGGGTCCCCCAGTATGCAATCTACTACTCACGATGGGTATCCTATTATGAATTCTCCTACTGTCAGTAGATGAGATGAGCCCTATCGAGACTACTCCAGAAGAGTTAGATGACCAAAATGAAACCTTTGGAGCGGAAAAAAAAAAAGAAGCTCCTATTTGGGATGAGTATAAGAAGCCGAAGATGGTGGCGGGAAAATTAAAAGTTCAGTGCAAACACTATAAGCAATATATATGCTAGGTGATCCCAGTCAAGGTACGAGTCATTTGAAAAAGCATTTTGCGAGATGTTGATCAAAAACAATGTTGGATTTATATAAGTGATTGATGTTGAAAAAACAATGTGGTATTTTTAATTTTCATGGTTTGGGGGCCATTTGACATGTTTGGATCTTTGCATTTTGATTTTTGAATTGTAAGATTTATTATGTTATTTGTTGGATTGTTGTATTTCAAATTTAAGATTGTTCTTGAGTGCTATTTTAAGCTTGTAAATTTTTTTTTTTTTTTTTTCAATGTGTAATGTTTAAGGTAATGATTGGGGTAAAATAAAAGGGATAAAATATTATGTAAGTGGCTACTGGGTCGGGGCGGGTCGACCCTCCCTGAAATGGGTCAGGTCATGGGCCCGACCTGTTGGTCCCGTCGTTGGTCGCGGGCAGGTCGGGTCCACTGGGCAAAAACGCGGGCCAGGTCTGGGTCCGCAGGTACCCGGCCCGACTTGGCCCATTGCCATCCCTAATGACTGGTTGCCAATTCCCAGTAGCTTTCTAAAGAGGATGATGGTGATAAGTTCATGATGAACATGAACTTGTGTCACTGCCAAACACAAACAAGCTCCTTTATGGGTGCCACCTAGGTCAAATTGACCAAGGAACTCTCGTTCAATGATGACAGCAAAAACATATTGATCGAATTCCAACTGCATATTTTGCATGATCATGAACAGATTTTCCCAAATAAACAAGGACTACGGGCCAAGCTGCAAGTTTGCGAGGACGTTATCCTGAATAAAAGTCCCGGGCTCTTGTTAAAATGACGATGAAAAGTGCTTAGAATACAGCTACAATCAGCACTGTAAACATGATTTTATTGAATTTGAGTAAATATGACCTGATGTTGAGAAATTTTCTTCCTTTATTCTTCTCCTCAATCGAAAAAATAAGGGTTAATTGCTTATAGAACCCCAACCTTTTGTTTAATTGTAAAAAAACTCAACTTTTTCAATTTTGAACCTATATACCAAACATTTATTATGTATTGCAAGTTTGTCTCAGTTTCTGGCCAATCCTTGCTGACATGTCCGATCGGAATTTTGACGTGGCACCGATTAAGATTGCGTGGCACTCAACATTTTAAAGTCGATGCCACATCATCTTACACGTTGGAATCCACGTCACATCGCTTAAAGCCAAAGCCACGTCATCTTACGCTCAACATTTTAAAACTCGTTCTTCCCCATGTTGGGGCCACAATAATCACATAAAAAAAAAAAAGTTGAGTGCCACGCAATCTTAATCAGTGTCACGTCAAAAATTTGGCCGGAAACTGATTTTGAGACAAACTTGCAATACATAATAAATGTTTGATATTTATTTACAAAATTGAAAAAGTTGAGTTTTTTTTTTGCAATTAAATAAAAAGTTGGGATTTTATAAGAAATTAACCCAAAAAATAAAAACGAAGATCTGCAGAATCAAGTAGAATAAATCAAATCAAATCAATAAAAAAGCAAGTCCGAAAGAAAGAAACAAAATTGAGTATGATCCAACTTCTGAGTAATAGTGAAAAAACCCTGCGATCGCAGTGGGATTCGAACCCACGACCTTTAGATCCGGAGTCTAACGCGATATCCACTCCGCTATGCGATCAAATTTAATGTGTATCCAAAACCAGACACAAAATTGACGCAGCATATAAACTAGGTTTTGGCATTTTGCAGATACTCGCAATAACAAGAAAAGAAGGAACAATCTACTAGGAAAAAGGACAATTCCATGACTACACGAGAGAACCCACAATGTAATCGCTGGAAAATAAGGCGTATGAGAAAAAGAAATATCAGAGATACTGGATCTACCTTTTTCGGCCGCCATGGCTCGCTCGATCTTGAAATGTCGAAAAACTGTTGAAAGATCAATATTGGAAAATTCAAAGCTGAGAGGATGAAATATTCATTGATTGAATGAATCGCCGGTAACGAATGAAATTGAGAGAGAGTAGACGAATAAAAATTTTTACAGTAGTGTCTCCCCATAGGGAAAAAAAGGTTCATTCGTTTTCATGGATCAACTGCTAAGGGCGTGATTGTTTGTAGAAACCGCTAAGGGCGTTGTTTATATTTTCTACAGTAAATATCTCACTCAAAACTCAAATTTAACTCAACTTTAACTCAACTCCATTATCTCCAATATTATCAATATAATTAAATAATATCAAACAATCATTATTACACATCACATCAATTTTAATTCACTATTCACACACTCACATAATTTTAACTAACCATCACTTCCAATCATTTTCTCATACTTTTACATCAAATCAATTTTAATTATTTTAATTTAAATATTATTTTAATATATCCACTAACAACTAACCATACTACTTTAAACTTAACTATAGTTAAAAAAAAACTAGTTTTTTACTAGTTGAATTCATATCCAATCACCCCCTAAGAGCTTCTCCAACCGATACTCAAAACTCAAAAAATGCAGTATTTTTATTCCAACCGATACTCAACGCCAAACGCAAATTGCGTTTTCTCCTGTTTTCCGTCTGTACAAACGCAAATATGCGTTGTTCCTGTTCACGGACGCAAATATTTTAAGAAATTGCAATATCATCCCATCTGCCCATCATAGTGAATATTTGTGAGTTGAATTTATTTATTTCCTTTCTTGTTTGCACATACTTATGGCAATAATTATTCTTAATATATTATGGATATAAAATTTAACTTAATGTAAACAATTAATTATTGAGGCTAATTTATTTCTACGTGACTACAATAGGGATATAAAATTTAACTGAATGTAAATAATTAATTCTTGATGCTAATTATATATATATATATATATATATTTAGTTGTATTGATGTATTTTATTTGTATGCAATGTAATAGTTAAATATTATTTTGTAGGGTAATTACAATCATGACTAGAATTTTGACATTAAAATGAAATATTAACACTAAAAAGTACCAAGTATATTTATTTGTATCTCATTTTATTTTATTTTTCATCTCGCTCCCATTGTAATTTTCAACACTTTTAATGAATACTTGTTTCTTCAATTTTCTTATGTATATAACATTATAATTAATTTTATTACATAAACTGCTAATTAAATTTAAAATACTTATGTGGTTTAATTTGTAAAGTTGTAAAATATGTGGGTAGTATTAAAAATTTGTAAAAGTTGACGAAAAAAGAATATTCTGAGAATATTCTTTTGAGTTTGAGAATGAGGTTTTCGGTTGGAGTTAAATTACTGTTTGATGTGACAGTTACTGCAAAATGAGTTTGGGAATGAGTTTTTCGGTTGGAGATGGTCTAAATCACGGGTCAATTGTTAAATCGGTAATTAATTTTAAAATTTAAACCTATACATATCTATGTTTGGTTATTGGCGGTTTAGGTAAAAAAGCTAATTTAGCTGTTTTGACCAAATAAAACTGGTAACAATGGTGTTTGGTTAAGTAGCTTTTTAGCTTAGCGGATGAAAAAAAAAAGGCTAAAATTTGAAACGCTAGGAATTGGAGCGTTTGTGAATGGCGTTTTGAGTTATTTAATTAGATCACATTTTTTTATTGGTTAATTACTTTTAAAAACATATATATATCACTGACCAAATAATTTATTTTTTAAACTAGCACTGAAGCAATTGTAACATGTTTTTGCATTACAAAGCTAATTATTTCCATTTCATTTCGTATCAGTTATTAAAATAAATAACAAACAAAAATGTAAAATTTGAATCATTATTGATAGATAAGCGTTTACCTTTTTCTATTTTAAAGAGTGACTCTCAATTTATTGTAAAACTTTGCGAAAAAATATAAATTATTTGTAGTATTGTAACATTAAAAAAATATCAGATTGTATTTATAAATAATTTAGTAACGGCTAATTTCAAACAGTTAGTTTTACCAAATCATTTTACCAAACCGTTTTAATTCGAGATGACTTGTTATTGTTTATATGACGTGAACTTATTTACTCGATCAAGAAATATTGGATTATTTGGAAGTCTGTGAATATTGTGGTTTAAATCACTTTAATAAATATTTAAAATATTAATTATTTATATTTTCTAAATAATTATAAGTTCAACATAAATTAAAATTAAAAAATAAAGTATGTTGATGTCCTTATAAGTAATTTTACATGTTAACAGTTAATTAAAATAGCTAATTTTACCAAACACTATTTTACAAACCGCTAACACTATCCGCTGGTCAAAACAACTAATGCAATCCGCTGGTCAAAACAACTAATACAATCCGCTAACAGCTAACAGCTAACCGCTGATTACCAAACAAGGTCATAGAGTATTTTTATGGAAAAAAATGTTAGTTTTGATACTCTAATTATCCCCTTGTTCACTCTTGAAACTCTCTCTATTAGTGGGCCAAAAAAAAAAACAAAAAAATATCTATTAGGGGTGAACATGGGTCGGTACGGTTCGGAAATTGATAAATCTAGGGAACCGTACCGAAATTCGGAGATTATTAAAATTCGATCTCTGAAACCGTACCAAAAATCGATTTGGTTCGTTTCGGAAATTTTTATTTTTCCGTTCGGTTCGATATTCGAGACTATCGAAAGGGTTCGATTCGGTCTAGATCGGTTCGGATCTCAGGAGATTTCTAATTATTATTTTTTTTAATGACTTCCTAGTTATGTTTTAATTTTTATATGCATTTAAAAATAACCAACATTCATCAATATTTCATCATATTAAGATTTTATTTTGAAATTAACTTTAAAAGTAATTCTAAATTTTAGTTATAACTAAATTTGTGCAACTAACATTGAAAATTTAAAATTAAATAAAACATAATATAATTTTTTCTTAAAAAATATTTCTTTAACCTTTCATATCATTTTAATTATAAGATAAAATAAGACGAAAAAAAGTATCGACAAATTTAAGTAAAGTTTATATAATTTTAACAAATATTTTTTTAACCTTTCATACCATTTTAAATATTTTTTTTTAAACAAAAATAAATTCAATTGTATATCAAGTATTACTAAGCATGAAATTTAAGCGAAGCTTAATTGTTACTACTCTATTTTTTGTTTTTTAAAAATTCTCAAATTGTATAATATCATATTTGACATAAAATATATTAATAACACACAACTAATGTTATAGTTCGGTTATTAATTTTGATTCTTCGGTTCGGTAAGGTATGAGACGGTTCGGTTTGGTTCTCGAGACCAATTATTTTTTCGATTCGGTTCGGTTCGAAGAAAGTCAAACGGTAACGCTTATTTTTCGGTTCTGAGTGATTTTGATTCAGTTTTCAGAACGGTTTGGAGTTCTCCGAGACCCATGCTCAGCCCTATCTATTCACTTAATCATTTTATATACCAAACATAAATGTTGTTTTGATACTCTAATAATCCCCTCTGTTCACTCTTGATACACTATCTATTCACTTAATCATTTGATATACCATATGTTGGTCTGTCCATAAGTTTTGGTACTCACTCTCTATTCAATTTTTTTTTTAACCGATAGGAACTTTTATAGATAAAACACATATATACATCTAGAAAGCATGCAACAACTGACTAAGGCAACTATTGAGCCAAATCTAGTGGGAGGCTAGACCTTACGGTCACCTAGACACTAACAGGATGCTTGGATACAAAAAATTTAAAAAATAAATAAATAAATATTTTTAACTCAACCAATTTTTTTAACTCAACTTTAACACAACCCCACTATCATTAATATTATCTATATAATTAAATAATATCACTCAATCATTCTTACACATCTCATCAACTTTAATTCACAATTCATCAACTCACATAATTTAACTAATCATCACTTCACATCACATCCCTTCTACTTTTACATCAAATCAATTTTAATTATCTTATTTTAGTATTATTTTAATATGCCCACCAACAATTAACATAACACATTTTTCAAAATTAATCAAATCAAATAAAAAAAAAAATCCAAACAAAACAAAAAATTCTTATATCCAAGCATTACAAACTAACAAGCTCCCAACAGGAGAAAACTAAATTCTCATGAGTGGAAAATACAAATAGCACACTCCCAAAAGGAGAGAAAAGAAGCATAACACA